TCGCCACCGGGGCAGCTCGAGGACGGCGGCGAGCCGGAGGAAAGCGAAGGTGGTGCACCGGGGGTGGGGGGGATTAAGGAGGAGCCAGCGGTCGGCAACCAGGGCGACGGGGATGGCCCCCCCTCTGAAGATATCGTAGAAGGAGACGGCGGGTATCCTGACAGGCCCGACAAGTGGATGCACCCGTATCTCCTCACCTACTGCCTTATCGGAAGGCCAAGCAGCAGCGAGGACCCTGACCTTAGGACCGCACGGAAAACGTCCGGGCCGAAGGGTCGCGGAGGGAAGCAGAAGGTGAAGAATGGATCGCCCAGCACCAGCGACGGAAGCGGGTCGGAGACAAGCGGTGCGTACACCGACGTTGATTTGTCGTCGAGCGCGATTCGGATGTTCGCAGGGGCCGGCGAAGTTCAAAGCCGTGCGCAGGTGAAGAAAGAGCACGCAGCTGTGGCGGCGGCGAACGCGCAAGAGCAAGCGCCGCGCGTCCAGCAGGCCCATACAGGCAAGCTGGTGACGGCTGTGGAAGCTTTGTCGGCAGCCGTTGTGTCGAGGCAGGCTTTGGACGAAGAAGCCGCCCACAGGGCTCGCTGGGATTACGCTCGCTTGGCCAAACAAGCTAAAATCGACGACCTTAGGGGGAAGTTGGAGTTCACACTGGAAGGGCCAAAGGCGATGGCACTGCGAGCCTCTATATCGGCCTTGTATGACATGGATGACGCCGACTTCATGCCCAAACCCATCTCGGCCCCGACGCCACCCGCTGCAGGAGGTGCCCCCAGTACGTCCGCGTCTGCGTCAGTGTCATCTGCAGCGCCACCGCCTGCCACTACTCCTGAGGTCACTGCCCTGCCTGCGTCCATTACGACATCACCTGCTGCTTCAACACCCGCGTCTGCGGCCGGGCTAGTGACCCTCCCTACGTCCGTGTCTTCATCGCCTGATACGCCAACGCCCACTTCCAGTGTCCGAGACGCTGCCCCCATCGTTCTGGGCGCAACACGGGCCAGGACAAGGGCTAATGGCCTCCCGGGATTTACCGGGGCGCGGAAGAGGGGTGTTGGTGATGTAGGACACGAAGAAAGGAGAGTTTGAAACACAATCCCCTGAGAGGAGACATATTTTTTTGGCATTGTGTTTTGGGAGCTGGTATGCGTACGTTTTTTCAGTTTTCGCAATGCTGTGTAGCGTGTAGAGGTCACCAGTCCCCGGCACCCACGTTTGTTTTGTGTTGTGTGCCGTGTTCTCTCTTGTAGACCATGTAGCCCGCTTGTTTTTTTTTCTGCACGGGCTACGGCAGCAGCAGCAATGTTTTT